AAACTAAAAGGGAGAATAAAAGAATTTTAGGCAAAACTGAACTTATATTGTTCTGTGTAGTTAGACTTGCCATTATTTTTTGCTTCTGCCTTCAGTTGTGAATTTCTACTGATACTCACTTATTTCAGCTTAAAATACTTGCACAGTATTTCCTAAGGAGATTTTTCTATAGTGCATTTCTCCTGTATTTATTTGCCTTGGAATACACTTTCTGCTTCATTTTGGCAATATTGCTTTATTGGATACAGAAAACCTTTCTCTTCCATGATGCTGGCCTCCTTTGTTTCTGGTAATAATTCAGATGTTAATAACACACCAGCAACCCATGTTCTCATGAGCAGCTCACTCTCTGCCCTTGGAATGCCCTCTTTGTCGTTGATAGTCAGATTAGGGTGTCTACATCTCCATGAGTTTATCTAAGCAGGGCTTTTTAATCTCTTGGTTGTATAAAGCAATTTTTCTTTTAGCTCATTTGGGAAGGTTTGTGCCATAATGAGGCCAAACTTTCCCTGCCCTCCTGGCCTTCTTGGTGATATTCTAGGTTCTGTGCACTTTTATTAATTAGTTTCTTTTCTGTTCCTCAGACTGGTGCATCTCAGTTGAACTATTTTAAAATGCTGTCTTTCTTTTTCTACCTCCCAAACCTGATATTTGCTTAAGTGGGTTGTTAGAATTTTCTTTCCACCTTTGCAGTGACGATAGAATTTTCAATTCTGTGATTTATTATTATTTTTATTTATTTATGAATGCTGGCCCCATTTTGTGAGGCATGATTTTCATATTTAGTGTTTTGTACATCATTTCTTTTAGCTGACTGAACATATTTCATCTTTGTTTATTTATCCTTAAGTCTAAGATTTCTTTGTGACAGTTTCTATTGACTTCCTTTTCCTGTATATGAGCTGTCCTTTCTTTTTTTATATAGCTTATTTATTTATTTATTTGCTGACGCTAAAAATGTAAGTAATAGAAGGTTGCAAAGCTGAAACTTGTATTTCTTCTCTTTCCAGGATGTATATTGTTTGTGGTTGTTTTAGTGACTTTACTGAACTTATTCTATAAATTCTATAATCTACATTTGTCATCTATATCTTCTGATGGCTCTGCTTCAGAAGTGACAGTTTCTTCACGAATGAATACAGCGGTTCCCTTAAATGTTAAACAACTCAGTCTCTCAGTCTTTACTGAGTTGTGCGCATGTACATATAAACATACATCTGTGTATATGCACGCATATACATGTATATGAATGTATATGTTATATGTGTGCATATGTGCATTTATGTATCCTATATATATGAATGTAAATGCATATATTGGGTAAGTATATGTATGTCTGTGTGCATATGTGTATATGAGTGTGTTGGTACACTCCTTCTACATATGGTGAATCAGTTAATTTTTCTTTTCAGCTTTTACCTTCTACTTGCGAGGTGTTTAATGGTAGGACAGAAGTGAGAATTTAGGGCTATGTTACACCCTGTGGGCAAGAACACAAGCTGAATCCTACAAATGTGTAGAGCCTTCTAGATAAACATGTTGGAGTTTATTAACATCCCAGCTTCTCATTTTAGGGTTTGTGATTGTCATTGGTTGTGGTTATTTGTTTTGGTAGCTTTCCCCCTCAAATTCCATACACTCTATATTCCCTGTCACTTACTTCCACTAATAAAAATTGTTTGGCCCAAGTGCTATTCCCAGTTTCATGTGGGCCGCATGATAAACATTTGCCTCTGAATATTTCTGACAGATGCCCCAGGCAAGCTCTGTATCAGGTTAAATAAAGACAGCTTTGGCAAACACAAACAGATGATAAGTGCTTAAGGAGATGGGAATGCTAATTACTCTAATTTGGTCACTGTGTGTTGTATAAATGTATCAAGTTAGCACACAGCACCCCATAATAAATGTGCAAAATTACTATGTGATAATTAAAAGTAAATTTTTAAAAAGACAGCTTGGGGAATTGAGTGCTCAAAGGAACACTCAGACAGTGTCTAAGTTTGGGTTTTTATTGCTGTGAAGAGACACCATGACCACAGCAACTCTTTAAAGAAACATTTAATTGGGGTAGCTTGCTTACAGAGGTTCAGTCCATTATCATCATGGCAGGGAGCATGACTGAATGTAGGCAGATGTCTTGCTGGAGCTGAGAGTCCTAGTTCTTGTAGGCAACAGGAAGTAGACTGATTCATACGCTGAGGAAAGCTTGAGCAAAAGAGACCTCAAAGCCCACACTCACAGTGACACACTTCCTCCAACAAGGGCACACCTTCTAATAGTGCCACTTTCTTTGGGGGCCATTTTCTTTCATACCACCAGACAGGGAAAATAATGATAAATTTTGGGGAACTGGCTTTTGAAGGAGGCTCAGAAGTGTCCTTTTCTATCTGTGTCTAATTGGGTAATAGTTGACAACGACTGATAGCTGTTAGCTCATATGGCTATCCCCAGAATGCAAACAAGGCTATTTAAGATGCCACAACAACACTGATCTTAGAGTTTATTTCATTGTTTGAAAATGTTTACATTTTAGTTGTGTGTGTGTGTGTGTATGTGTGTGTGTGTGTGTGTGTGTGTGTGTGTGTGTGTGTGTGATGTGTGTAGGTGTTTGTCTTGGTATCTTTTCTGTTGCTGTGATGAAATATCCTAACAAACGCAACTTAAGGAAGAAAGTCGTTTTCTGATTCAGAGCTCAAGGTGAAGATCACCATGGTAGAGAAGCTGAGGCAACTGGTCACATACAAGAATAAGAGGCAATAAGAGTCAGTGTTCAGGCTGCTTTCTCCATCTTACACAGTCCAGGATCCTGCTGCCCAGAGAATGGCCCTACTAATAAGTGGGCAGGTGCTCCTGCCTTAATTAAACCACAATCAAGATAATGCCCCATGCAAATTCCCAAGGGGCCATCTCTGAGGTGATCACAGGTTCTGTCAAATGTGTGTGTGTGTGTGTGTGTGCACACAAGCATGTGCACACTCATGAACACACATGCAAGGACCCTGAGGAAGACTTCAGGTATCATCTCCTACCACTCTCTACTTTATTCCCTTGAAGTATGGTCTCTCACTGACCCTCTACTTTATTCCCTTGAGGCAGGGTCTCTGACTGAACCTGAAGATCACTGTTTTCCTGCTAGGCTGGTGGCTGGACGCTCCAGCAATCCCCCGTCTCTCACTCCCTAGCACAGGTGTGGGAGTTTCAGGTGCATGCAGTAACACTTAGCTTTTTAGGGTGTGCCCAGGGTCCAAACCCTTGCCCCCATGCTTATGTAGCAGCGCTCATACCCACTGAGCTCTCTCCCCAGTCATCAGGGTTCTTGTGGCTTGTTTTTGTTAAACCCCCTGGGTTGCTGCGAGCTTCTGATTAATTCCAAAGTTCTGAAAAAGTTGAGTCAGATCCACAAAAATCTCTGGCCAGTTTTGAGTATTTGAAACGTAATTCAGAGGTCCACATTCTGCTAATTTTTTTTTCTTTCTTTCTTTTTTTTTGGTGAGGCAATCTTCATTTTTACATGATTTTATTATTTAAATTTCATGGCTTACTGAAATACATACACGTATTTTAAAGCTTCGGTGCTCTTTGTATAAAATTTTTATTTTCCAATTAAAGGTGATTATTCCCTATGTGGCTGGCATAGTCCAATTAGTAGATATCTGAATAAGACAGACTTAGTCCAACCTCTCACCTCATTTTTACAGATGCCCAAGATGTAGCTGGCTGAGGAAATGGTGACTAATTTCTTTCTTAGGTACAGTGTTCATCCATTTTAGCAAGAGCTTTGGTATAATTCCATTGGTAAAGTGCTTGCCTAGGAGGCCCTGGGTTCCATCACCCACACCACAAAAACTGGGCTTGGCTTCCTACGCTTGTAGTTTAGGCATTTGGATGCAGAAGCAAAGAATCAGAAGTTCAAGGTTGTCCTTAGCTACATATGGAGCTCAAGAGAATCCTGGGAGACAGGAACCCTGTCTCAATATATAGGAGTGGATATATAGAAATATAAAACAATAACAAAATACCTAGGGCAGGCTGACTTTACGAAGAAACGAGGTCTGTGTAGCTCATTCCTTTAGAAGCCAAGTACACAGTGCTGGCATATGCTTAGCTGTACTGAGGGCTTCTTGGATGAATTTCATCTTAGCATAAGTGCCCAAGAACAAAGTGGAGGTCACCTCTTAAAACAAGAAGCCAGAGAGCCCCCAGGTCCATGATTCTTCCAAAGGGCATGTACTTAATGACTTATGGTTCTTCCATGGGGCTCCGCTTCTGTTTTTATATCATGTTTTTAATATAATATTTTATTAATTCATCGAGTCTCACATAATGTGTTTCGATCATATTCACTCCTACACTCTCCAGCCTGCTCCCAGATCCACTCCTCACTCCTTCCAACTTTCTGTCCTCTGTTTTATCTTTTAAAATGCCTCGATGATTCCAGTTTGTGCTGACCATGAGCTCATGGGTATGGGGCCATCCACTAGGCAACCTACAAGGGGCCACACTCATACAAAAACCAACAGTTCCTCCCCAGAGGCCATCAGCTGTCAGTAGCTGCTCAGTGCCCTGCCTCATATGTGCACTATGCTAAAATGGTTACTGGCTTGATCTTGTCCAGGTAACTACAACTTGTGAGTTCATGACTGCACTGGCCCTGTCTTGTCCAAGAGACATTGTTTTGCTCCAGACCTCCCCAAACTTTGGGGCTTACAATCTTTCTACCCTACTCTTCTGCAATGGTCCCTAAGTATTGGGGAGATGGAGAGGGTAAGGACTGACAGATTTATGTAGATATCCCATTTCTGGCCTAGAGACTTCTTCTTAAAGGCCCCGCCATCTTTTAACACTACCACTTTGGGGACCAAGCCTCCAGCAATGAACCCATGAGTGTTGGAGGCCACTTTAAACCTTATCCAGTGTCTGTTTCTATAGCCAATGTCAGAGTCATTAGGTTTGCCTGTGCTCAGTTCTGGTGACAGTCACTGAAAATCTTTTAACAGAATGCAGAGTCTAGATGAGCCGTGGACTGAAGAGGAGGGAGATGGCCCCGATCACCCATACTACAACAGTGTTCCCAGCAAGATGCCTCCCCCTGGGGGTTTTCTTGACGCTCGATTGAAAGCCAGACCTGATGCAGCCCAGGTGAGTCTGGGGTTCTCTTCTTGGGTTAAAGATGACCCCCGTTTGCATTTATCGTCTTCAGTGTTATTTCTGGCTAGTTTTCCACTTAGCCCTCACAGGCTTTTTCCTACTGACGTCACAAAGCACATGGAAAGGGTTCGGTTTGACATCACAGTGCATTGACCAAATGCCTCAGAACCACAGTGCCGTGTCTGAGACGGAAGTAAAAGCGATCTGAGTCATAACACCGATTCCGCCCTGCTGTGGGGATCACTGTGGGGAAGTCCTGGGGCAGGAGCCTGAAGCAACGTCACATCGCAAGCACAGTCAAGAGCAGAGAGATGTGTGTGAATTCTCCCGTGCTTGCTTGCGCTCAGCTCGCTTCCTCCACTCTTATTCAGCCCAGGTCTCCCTGCCTAGGAAGTGGTGCAGCATTCAGTGGCCTGGGCTTTCCAAGTCAACTGCCTTAAAAGGCCAATTCCCCCTGTTAACATTCCTATGGACCAACTCATGAACACATGAACAATCTCTCATTGAGACTGTCTCCCCAGACTCATCTCTTCTCGGTTGTGTCATCAATTAAAACAAACCACCAAGCTGTCCAACTTGAAAAATCTTTAACTCAAAATTGCTTCCTAAAACTATTATGTCTCCATCTTTTCTGGAAGCTTAAAAGATTTTTCCCCCTCTCTTTTGTGGTGCTAGGGATGGAACCCAGAGTCATGTGCTTGGTGAGCTGAGAGATGCGTCCAGCCCTGGATATAATAAGGCTATTGGTGCCAATAAAAATGTTAGCACAGCAGTGACACCAAGGCTCTGACACCGCAGCTTCCTGGTCCTCAGGGAGTGTGCTGCTCTGAGAGTGGATGCTGCTGGGACAAGAGCTCTCTGTGGTGGCTCTTGGGAGGAATTATGAGGATCGTGAAAACAAAGAGAGAATTGTAGCATTAATGAGACTGTGGATATTTTTTTACAACCCTGCAAGCTTATCTGTTGCATACAATGCCACTGTGAGGCTGAGGCAGGGAAGGAAAGGCAGGTGTCAGAGAGGATGCATCAACCCCCAAAGCCCTGCCCACTACAAAGATGAGGAGTGAGAAGACACTTCCTTCTTTCTGAGTATCCACATATGTCTCTAGTTTGCAGGGAAAGAACAAACTTATTACCAGGGAAGACACTTAGGAGACACGTTTGGTGAAGACTGGCATCGAGCACCCACCAGGCAAGGTAAGAGCACCCACCATGTGATTCACTGACCGTGGGTGAGAGTCCCTGGAGACAACAGGAAAATGAACATTCTACAGGTGTCTGAGACTCCATAGCTCACTATGTCCTAAGCTCATAATCGATTTCTCTTTTAGTTTTTAAATTTCTTTTAGTGTTTGGTGACGCAGAGCCATCTTGTACAGTTCGGACTGGCCTTGAACTTGCAGTGACCCTCCTGCTGTAGTCTTCTGAGAGCTGGGATGACAGGCATGAGTCAGGTCACCTGGCTTCAAGATCTTATTTGAAAACAGTAGATCTGTTCTCTCAGAACAAACAAGAATTTATTCATCTACTTCCCAAAGGAACGTTAGCAGGGTCTCTGTTATACAAGAGAAGCAGAGATGTTCACACACAGAAAGAGTGACCCAAGCAGGTGCCATGGGCAGCACTTTCCATATTACTTGTCTTGACAAAACAGCTGAGACCTCCAGGCCCAGCCTCAGCGCTCCTTTGGCTCACTGGGAGGTCACATTGAACACTGAGGCAGTGGAACTCAGTGCTGAGCTCCCAGGGTCCTGAAGCACCACCATGGTTGGCCACATTGGGCAAGGCTTTAAACCACCAGTGCCAGCAGATTTTTTTTCCCCATGAAGGACTGGGAAGTTTCTTAACTGAGGCCTGGAACTGACAGACTGAGAGAGAATTAACCGTTTAACCATGAGTAAACATTCTCACCAGCAAGTGGGAAGAGCTGCTCTGTGGAATTCTGGGTAGCCCAGACACAGAGGCTAGGACAGTGTTGCCATCCTAAGAGGTAACAGGGCTCACTTTTCTTGGTGCAGGTTCCTTGGACATCTATAGTGCTCCAGAAGGGAAAGCACACATGGCTCCAGTAGGAGAGATACCAACCTATGTCAACACCCAGCCAGTCCTTGCCCAGGTGTGGCCAGCAGCAAGCAGCAGCACCGAGAGCAGCCCGCGGAAGGACCTCTTTGACATGAGTAGGTGTCTGTGGTCTCCCTGTGCTGCCTTTTATCCGATATCCGCATCACTGCCCGATTTTCTGCTGGACTTAGATGGGGTTCAAGTCAGGTGTTGGGGTTACACATCCTCCCTGTAGTCAACTGGTTTTCCTCTTGAAGACACAAATATGCATGTCCATTTGAGTATTACCTGACTGTGCTAATTGTTGTGTGATTTTAGAGGCTATAGAGATGAGTTGGCCATGGTCAGAGATGCCGTTCTGTCAGCAAGGACCGTCAGATGAGAAAATGCTATCTATATACCTTGTTGACAGTGCCCTCCCTCTGTTACCTCTTTCCCCCCCTCCCACCTCCCCTCCCTCCTGTCAGTCCTCCCCTTCTCCCCCACTCCCTCTGCTTGCCCTCCCCTCCCTGCCCCATCCATGTGCTCCCATTTCCCCTCTCATTCTTCCTCCCAGCCTCCTCCAGACATGTAGCCGGTGCTTACCACGTGTCAAATACTTTTCTAATTACTGAAGTGATACAGGGGCATTGAAACAGATGGACTTACTCGGGTGGGGTTCAAATAACCAACTACACACTTTCAGGGGGCGACGCAGGGTGGAGGGAAAGGTGGGGACCCACTGGACTTTGTCATGTGGACTTGCTCTTTGCTATATAGTGACAGAAAATTGTGCCATTCATGAACTGTAATGTAATGAGTAGAAATTGTTAAGGAACTTGGAAAGAGTTTTGGAAGCTCATGAATATAAACATACATACATTCATATGGAGAGAGAGAGAGGGAGGGGAGAGCGAGAGGGAGAGGAAGAGAGAGGAGTTTATGTATGTGTGTGGGTATCCTTGTATGAGTGTGCCTGTGTGTGTGTGTGTGTGTGTGTGTGTGTGTGTGTGTGTGTGTGTGTGTGTGTAGGTCATAAGCTAACCTTGAGTGTCATCCCACAAGAGCCGTCTCTCTTGTTTTTGAAACAAGGTCGTTCACTTTGCCTGGAACTTGTTAACTAGATTAGCCTGGTTGGCCAGTAGATCTGCCTGTCTACACCTCATTGCTGGGATTGCAAGCACATACCTGCATGCCTCGCTTGTTTTTTTAAAGATTTATCTTTATATTTTACTTTCATGTGTCTTGAGTGTTTTTTTTTTTTTTTTTTTTTTTTTTTTTTTTGCCTGAACCACACGCGTGCCTGGTGACTGTGGAGCTCAGAAGAAGGTGTCAGGTCCCACAGAAATGAAGTTGAAGGCGGTTGTGAGCTATCAAGTGGGTGTTGGTAACTGAATCCAGGTCCTCTGTCAGAGCAGCAATTACTCTTAACCACTGAGTCATCTCTCCAGCCCCATGAGCCTGACTTTTAAAACATAGGTTCTGGGGATCAAACCCACGCCCTCATGCTAGGGAGGCAAATACTTTACCAGCTGAGCTAATCTCCCAGCCCCACATCTGAAACTCCCCTGCTTTAATTCTGTGAGAAGTTGATGGATGGAAGAGGGCTGGAAAGAACCAACCCTGACTGCCACTTGCTGAGCACTTACTACCTGATGCAGAACTCCCATCAAACACTGTTGAGGGGCAGGGCCTGGGGTGTCGGTTATGGATCACATGATCTTTTCATTTAAAAACCATTGAAAACAGACCAAGAAGTTAGGGCTATTTTCCCAGCAGCGACTCTTCAGCCCACGCTTCAGGTTTTCTTTACTTTATTTTTTGGTTTCGGCTTGTTTTGTTTTGAGACACCGTGTTTCTCTGTATCCCTGGTTAGAGTGGCGCACACTCAATAACTACGGCCAGTCTTGAACTCTCAGCATTCCTCTTGCTTCAGCCTCTCAGGTGCTGAAAATTACAGGCACGTGCCACCATGCCTGACTCCTGCTTGAGTTCTTGCAGTATCTCTCAACTTCAGGCTGGAGGCCTTGAGTATGAGCAGACTGTTTTAACTGTTTAATTTAGTCAATTTACCAGTGACCTTGGCCAGAGAACCTGATAAGAGTTTATATGCCTGAGCTTTGAGGAAAGGGAAATCTAGAGCCCTCCTACTCTCATCCATTAATTTCTATTCTTGTCCTGAAAATAAGGCACTAGAAAGTAGACAATGGGTCAAAAAAATCATTATCTGTTTAGAAGTGTGGACGTTAAGTCTGTGCATCCTGCAACACTGCTGCTAAATAGTAGTAGCAGTAGCAATGCTATTGATGATAGTGGTGCTAATGCTGATAATGCCAGTGATGAGGGTGATGCTGCTGGTGATATAAGTGATTAAGGAGGTGGTGCTGATGCTGGTGATGTTAGTGATGATGGTGGTAGTGATGCTGGTGATGTCAGTAATGGTGGTGATGATGCCGGTAGTCTTAGTGATGATAGTGTTGATGTTAGTTATTATGCTGGTGGTGCTGGTGATGTTAGTGATGAGGGTAGTGGTGATGCTGGTGATGTCAATAATATTGCTAGTGATGTAAATGTCTATGGTGGTAATGGACAGTGTGCTAGGGTTGGTAATGATCATGATGATGGCTGATGGTGGAGATAGCAAGGTGGTGATGATACAGAAACTGCAGAGTACAGATTTTCAGTACTCCATATAATCAGATTTTTAAAAATAGGATAAAAGGAAATCCAAGGAATGGGGGTGGGGAATGATCCTACCAGTAATATGTTTGTTGCACAAATGCAGTGACCTGAGTTCGATCCTGTAGAACCCAGGTGAAAATGCCAGGTGTGGCAACACACACCTATAATCTCAGCCCTGGAAGGCAGGACTAGGTGGCCAACCCAACGGAGCTCTGGGTTCAGTGAAGAACTCTTTTTCAAAGAATAAGGTGTAGAAGTGTTGGAAAAGACACTCAGCACCAATCTCTGGTCTTCACATGCATGCACACACATGCATGTGGACACACACACACACACACACACACACACACACACACACACAGAGAGAGAGAGAGAGAGAGAGAGAGAGAAAGAACACACAAATTATCCAATGGTTTTTAAATTGCTTCTCTTTCCCAGATTTGTAAAAGATTTAGTGATTCTCAAAAAAGATCTCATTTTACTTTGATGTGCCCTCCTTTTGTTCCCACCATTTCTTAACCTCTACCAGATTCGGCTTGTTTGACATCACCCACTGAGCAGCTGTAGAGTCCCTATGGGTATCCCAGAAGCAACGTGGGACTCGGGTGGAGCTTTGTCCAAGAGCGAACACTCCACTTCTTGCTGTGCCTGCGCTGATGCCGAATTCACAGTGTTGGCCCAGCACTGCACACCTTTTTCTCGGTGCTCTTACCACGCCCCTGTTGCCTGGAAAATCACACGCTGTTGTTCAATTAGATGTACTTAGCGGACTCGGTTGCCACTGGTATGTGTTGGTACTCACAGTCGTCTGAGCACTCGCTGGTGTGCTATACAGCAAGAAGTCTGTTCCAGAGCAGATTAAGCCAAGTGTGACGTCAAGACTCAGATACCAGTAAAGGTCAAGGCATAGGAGAATTTCTATCCTGGAGCCAGTCCACAAGAGGCACCAGGGGTTTCGATGGAAATCTATGGCGCATCAAGGTTTTCATGGAATCAGAGTTTTGAGGCTTGTTTTTCCTTTGGTATTGACAAGTTTGTATACAGGGTTTCTTTCTCCTTCTCCTTCTTCTTCTTTTAAAAGCAAAACTTTTTATCCTTTGTGGGTTACACATCAAGCATCTTAATTTTCATCTTCCCATTCCTTCATATCCACCCTGTGCCCTTGTAACCTCCCCTCAAAGTATAATAAGATTTAAGAAAAAAGAAAGGAGAAAAAAAATAAAGAACAGAGAAGAAAATAAAACTCTCATTGTGGAAGCTGTAGTGTGACACAGTGAGTCACGCAATGTGCCATTTATCTTTACCTGCCAGTGCTCATTACAAAAAGTCATTGGTCTGGTTTGAGGCCTCTAGGTTCTGCTACACTATCGATGCTGGGCCCTCACCGGACTCCTCTGGGATATCCTGCTGTTTCACTGTGTCCATGGAGATTCTGCACCTTGGGTCTGCAGGACCATCCCTTTCATGTGCTCCAGCCGATCATAGATGGGGTGGATTTTGGGGTGGGCCAATTCATAGACCTGGTTCTCAGCCTAGGTGGTTGCAGGGTTGGTCAACCCACCAGCTGCCCCTCATCCTCACCACCAGGGTGAGCTCTCCAGCACTGCTCCAGCTGGTTCACCCTATGTAGCAAGGGGCAATGGGCAGGGCCATTTCTCCTGCCTTCACACCCTCAGGGTGGGCTCACCCACACCTACAGCACCGGGGCCAGCTCTACTGTGTTGCCCAGGCAAGTTGCAGGAGCCTCTCTCCCGAGTGCTGCAGCTGGTGAGTGTTGTTGCTCCTGCTGGAGTTAGGTAGAAAAAACCGTACTTGTTACAGGTGAGGGTCAGGGCCAGATCTCCAGCTCTCATGACCTCAGGGACAGCATTCCCACCTGTTACAGCTGGCAAGGGGTCAGGGGTGGCATCTCTCCCTTGGCCACTCCACATTATGGCTGATGAGGGGCAGGGCCAGATCTCCCATGCTCACATTCTTGGCCACTCACCAGCGCCCCTGTCAGCAGGGTCAGCTCTATTGTGCTGCCCAGGTGAGGCGCAGGGCTCATTTGCCCGAATGCTGCAGGCGGCAAGGGGGCAAGGTGAGAAGGGACAGCTTTCTTAAGGAGGTGGCTAGTGGTTCAGAGAAGGTAGGTGGTGTGAAATGGCAAGTTGTAGCTGCCTCCTTGAGGTGTGCAACATTGAAATCCTTCTCTCCAGCTAGACAAAGCATGTGCTCGTATTCTCAGCACCAGGCACAACCCCCAGCTGTCTGGAAAGTAGACTCACCAGAGAGTCATGCCAAAATTTGGGCGGTGCATTTAAATTCTAGTTCCGACTATCCATCTCTGTTGCCAGCCTTCGTCAAGAGTTACATTTTAATTCTCATCTCTCACTCTATTTTTATTGCTCACTCTTCCGGGGATTGATTTGTTGCTGTCATATGTTGTTGACAGAGCCGTTTGAAGATGCTCTCAAGAACCAGCCCCTGGGGCCAGTGCTGAGCAAAGCGGCATCTGTGGAGTGCATCAGCCCTGTCTCACCCAGAGCCCCAGATGCTAAGATGCTGGAGGAGCTGGATGCTGAGTCCTGGTACCAAGGAGAGATGAGCAGGAAGGAGGCAGAGGCACTGCTGCAGGAAGATGGAGACTTCCTAGTCAGAAAGAGTACTACCAACCCTGGTTCCTTTGTCCTCACGGGCATGCACAATGGCCAGGCCAAGCATCTGCTGCTGGTGGACCCTGAAGGCACGGTGAGGCACGAGCAAGCACCTTCCAATAGGCTCATGACTACCTTTAACCATGTCTATCTACTAGGCTTGCATGGGACCACACCCACACTGCCTCTTTTATCTACATGTATCTGCCAGGGACAGGATACTTATGTGAGAAGTGTTAGTGATCTGTGCAAGTTATAAAACTTGGAAAGTCATTAAAACCCAGGAGGGATTCATGCCCTTTAGGATAAAGAAATGTGGTCTAGGATGATGGCTCAGTGGTTTAGAGAGCTGCTGTTCTTACTGAGGACCTAAGTTTGGTTACCAGTGCCCGCATTTGGTGGTTCACAACCCTCTCTAACACCAGCTTTGGGGAATCCAGTGCTCCCTCCAACCTCCACCGGTACCCACGCTCATGTGTATACATACACACTGATGATTGACATTTTAAAAGGAAGTCTTTTGTTAAAAGGTAATGGAATAGCGGCTAGGGAAGCAGCTCAATGGGTAGAGAGCTTGCCGTGTGTATTAGTCACGTTTTTGTTGCTGTGATAAAAATACCATGGCCAAAATCAACTGAAGGGAGTCTTATTTTGGCTCATAGTTCCAGAGGGAGCGTTCATATAAGGTGGAGATGGCATGGCCGCTGGAGTGGGAAACTGGCTGGTCACATTTTGGCCACACAATAGGACACAGGGAAGTGAACTGGAAGTGGGCAGTGCCCAGTGATGCACCTCCTCAGTAAGGCTGCACCTCCCGAAGGTTCCTTAACCTCCCCAAGCAGCATCACCAAACATTCAAGTACATGAGCCTATGGAGAACATTTTTCATTCATATCCCTATACCACACAAGCATGAAGGCCTGAGTGTGAATCTCTAGGATCGGCATAAAAGCCAGACATGGTAGCATCTGTAATCCTAAAGCCCTCGCAGTGAGATGGGAGGCTGCCTGGGTTACGGCTACTGTTGCTGTCATGAAACACCATGACCAAAGCAACTTGGGGAGGAAAGGGTTTATTCGGCCAACACTTCCACAGCACTGTTTATCATCATAGGAAGTCAGGACAGGAACTCAAGCATGACAGGAAGCTAGAGGCAGAAGCAGATGCAGAGACCATGGAGGGTGCTGCTTATTGACTTGCTCCTCATGGCTTGTTCAGCCTGATTTCTTACAGAGCCCAGGGATGGCACCACCCACAATGGGCTGGGTGTTCCCCCACAGACTACTAAATGAGAAAATGCTGTACAGCCCGATCTCCCCCCCCCCCAAGGCAGTGTTTCTTTGTATTGTTTTGGAGCCTGTCCTGGAACTAGCTCTGTAGACTTAGGCTGGCCTGGAACTCTGCCTGCCTCTGCCTCCCCAGTGCTGGGATTTAAAGTCATGTACCACCACTGCCCAGCTAACAGCCTGATCTTATGGAGGCATTTCTCAAATGAAGTTCCCTCCTTTCAGATAACTGTAGCTCATGTCAAGTTGACATAAAGCAATGCAGCACAAAGGCAGAGGCCAGAAACTTCCCTGATGCTAGTTTCATGAGTGTAGATGGGAACAAAATGAGAGATCTCAACAAGTCTCAGACAAGGCAGAAGATGAGGACTGACACTCAAGGGTTCTTCTGTCTTCCACATGCACACTGGCATGCTCATACCATGTTCTCTCTCTCTCTCTCTCTCTCTCACACACACACACACACACACACACATGCACACACACTAAAGAAACAGGGAAATTGGCTTACTGTATAGACACTTAAAAAAAGTTATTCTATGGAAAAGGACCTCCAGTTGGAAGTGAAACTTAAAATATAAAATACAAAGATGACTGTGAAGGAAAAGATTTAGAAAAATAACACTTTTGGAAACTGGAGAGATTGCTCAGTGGTTAAGAGTGCTTGTTCTTACAGAGGACCTGAGTTCGATTCCCAGGACCCATCAGATGTCATATAACTGCCTGTAACTCTAGCTTCAGGGGATCTGATACCCTCTTCTGCACACATGCATGCAAATACACATAAACACAGACACAGGTGCACACACACACACACTCTCACAGGCACACACACACACATAGACACACACAAACACACATACACACTCACATATATAATACACACACTCTCACACACACACACATACACATTACAGTAATATAGCAACATCGCCATTCCTTCCTAAAACATTCATAATGAGCACAGAAGCTAAAACCTACTGGATTTTCAATATTTATCCCAAATAATTCCCAAACTGGGACCCCCAGGCTTTCCCATGGGCTAGAAAATGTCCTGGGCAGCAAGTATCCCCCATTAATTAGCCTCATGTTTTTCTGGTCAGAGAGGTACAGCCTCCTGACACCGAGATGGTAGTCTAATTTTGTCTGAGTGATTCTGTGGTTCCTCTGACTTGTCCATCGGACAATCAATAAGTGTATTTGACTTTACCTTGGGTATAGTCCAATAATTGCCAAGTTCAGTAAGTGCAATTTAATCAACTTAACCATTGAGCAAATGCCAGGGTTATTATTTTAAAACCTCTTATCCAGTGAAAAGTAAGGTAGAATTACTTAATAGAATTAGATCAGTGATGGGTGGGAACAGAACCAGGGTGTTTGGCTGTACTGTGTGTTTGGGCACAGATGAGGGCAGGGTTACCTGCTGTGATTCAGGAACTTGGACTGAGATGCCCACACACAGCCCTTGGAGCTTCTGAAGCATCTGTCTCTACAGGGCAGCCATGGCTCCAAGTATGCAACATTGTGAGTGCAGTGACTTCCCTGCTCATCTTCTGTGAAGGTTTTTTTTTTCTCTCTCTTAAACATACCTTCTCCAAGAAAGGACATGTTATGTGTTTGTAGACTTTTTGAAGTTTGCAAGCTTGATGTGTATATGTATGTAGTATGGACACATTCAACTGTGAGTATGGACGTATACTTGGCATGTATGTGTAGAGGTCAGAGGTCAATCTCAAGTGCCAGTCCTCACCTTCCACTTTGTTTGAGGAGGATCACTCATTATTTACCTCTGTGACCACCAAGCTGACTGGCCCGTGGGCTTTCAGGAATTCCCTTGCCTCCACGCCCCATCTTGCCATAAGGACACTGGGATTCCAGGTGTGTGCAGCATCTCTGGCTTAAAGTGGGTTCTGGGGGTCCAAAGCCAGGCCCCCATGCTTGCACTGAAGCTCTCTAGCTCCAAAGATGTGTGTTTGAGAAGAGACTGTTTTCTGCTTGGTTATCCAGTGTCTGTGTATCACACACACACTCTGAGAGCCACTTACTTACTAAAGTCTCTGGAGAAGGTAGGTGCCTGTGCTGTCACATGCACGGTGTTCTCTGTACAGGGGACAGTATCTATGGGGCAGATGGCAGGAAGGGGAGATTCGGGGTCACAGGAAATCTGTACACCTACATTCACTAAAGTTTGTTTGTTTCCCAGTCAGCAGCTGGAGGGGCCACCCTTTCCTGCTTTCTTTATAGAGTCCGTCTGCCTTTGCGGATCTGTGGGGTGACATTAAGGGGACATTTGTCACCTGGTGCTCACTTCTTTAGGTACATGTCACTAAGAGATGAACAGGCATCTCTTACAAGTTTAATGGTCTCAGCCAACCTGTGGTTGATCCTCACTTTCTTACTGGGCGTTTTTTGTTTCGATATTTTTTTTTTTTGAGCCATGGAATTTTTAAATGTATTCTTATCCGTCTTTTTTTCTTATCTGAAAATTTGGTCTGTGATTTCTTTTTTCTCAACAGATAGAAGTATCTTTCTTCAGCATGATTAAGCCAGATCCAGTTTTTCCCACTTGGTTTTTCTACTTTTCTTTACTCACAAATCACAAACACACTATATTTTTATATGTGTTTCTTTTCACTGCATAGTTTTATATGTCACAATTGTTCAAGTCCTCCATGGAGGGACTTTGAAATACAATAAGAAGTTGAGGACCCGTGTCTTTAAGTCTCTAAACAAGTGAGTTCATTTCCGTGTAACTGTTTATGAAATGTATTGTGCTCTCTGAGCCACTTCCTACAACATGCATGTTCTCCGCTTTGGGCTCTGTTTCTGGACTGCGGTTATGTTCAGACTGACCATTCATTCATTCATTCATTCATTCATTCATTCATTCATTCATGTGTAAGTACTGCCCTGTTTTAATCGTGACGACTTTGAAGCTGTCCTGACACCTGGTGTGTGATTTCTGCCCTCTTCATTTATACAAATCATCTGTGCTATTCTCAGACACTTATCTATTTAGATTTGTATTTTGGAAGTCAGGTGTGTTAAATCGCTCATCTGATCTTGATTTAATTTGGTGGGTGGTGTGTATTACTTCTTTTAGACTTTCCAATCTGTTAGAGTGCAGATTATAAAGTATGTCTTGATGGTCCTCTGGATCTCCTGGTGTCCATGGCTATGTCTCCCCATTCACCTCTAACTTGTTGATCTTCTTCCTCTAATTTAGCTAATTTGGCTAAGGGTTTGTCAATCTTACTAATTGTTTCAAAGAACCAACTCTTTGTTTCCTTGGTTGTTTGTATTATTCTCTTTGTCTTTATTCTATTGATCACAGCCCTCAGTTTGATCATTTCCTGCCATCTACTCCTTTTGGGCATTATTTCTTCTCTTTGCTCTAGACCTTTCAGGTGTGCTATTAGGTTACTAATATGCGGTCTCTCCTATTTGTTTGTTTGTTTGTTTGTTTTTAAAGAGGCACGTAGTGCTGTGAACTTTAGTCCTCTTAGAATTGCCTTCATCGTGTATATCATCTGTGTATATCATCTTTTCATTTTCGTTCAATTCTAAAAAGTTTTAAATTTCTTCTTAATATCTGACTTGACCCATTTTTCATTCAGTAGTGAGTTGTTTAGTTTCCATGATTTGTAAAATTTCTTGTTGTTTAACAGGTTAACAGCTTTAACCTGTAGGGGTCACATAGGATGCAGGTCGTTATTTCAATTTTCTTGTATCTGTTGAGGCTTGCTTTGTGTCTGAGTATGTGTGCAGTTTTGGAGAAAGTTATAGAACCTCATAGGAGGTGTTGAAA